ATTTTCCAGGGAAAAAAGGGGGAAACATGGTTCTGGATGGTTCTGGTTGGTGGTTTCAACCCTCTGAAAAATATGAGTTCGTCAGTTGGGATGATTCTTCCCAATCTATGGGAAAATCAAAGCCATGTTCCAGTCACCACCAACTAGTAATGGTTAATATTGAACATTACCCAATTATTAACCATTATTAACCATGATTAACCATTGGTATATCCCATAAACAATGGTTCATCAAATGGAAACATGGAATGGTCCTTCAAGGCCCATGTCACCCCGCACCTCCATGCGATCTCCAGCGCTAAAGATATGTTGCTCCAAGAAGGGGATCTTTCCTGATTCAATGGCCTGCAAGGCAGCTTTGAAACTTGTGATTGGTGTTGGTTTTCAAGACCGGACATGGGTTTTGGGAAGGAAATATCTCTAACATCAAACTGAGAAGCATATGAATCCGGCGTGGATGTGTGACATGTTCTAGGCGTGGATCCGATGGATATTGATGGACTAGATTTCTATGAAAACAATACAGGAAAACCCCTGGATTCCATGGGAAAACAAACTTCCGGATTGATTCCATCGCGCCTGCATGAGCATCTTCACCTCACAGAGGTTACTTGCCACAAGGCTACGGCTTCAACAGGGGAGCTTCATTGGGTAATCTTTGGGAAATCCCAGAGGCCTAGCCATGGAAGTTTCTGGGAAAATCATCTTTAACTAAATGGGATCAAACAGCAACAAACATCTGTATCATTCAGCAACAACAGAGACCTTTCTGACTAGGGCCGCCGTAGGGTAGCATCGCTTTGGACATGTCCTTCCTAGAAATGATCTATCCCCTTCCGACATGAAACATGAAAACAGTAAAGCAGCACAAAAACATGTATTACCACCCAACCATCAACTATTTACGTATATAATCATTGAATCATTCATCACACATATATATACATATATACATATATATATATATATGTACATATATATATATATGTATATATATATATATATGTATATATATATATGTATATATATACATATACATTGTGTTTCCCATCTATAAATTGGGCAAGACACAACACACACACACATATATATATATGTGTATACTGGTTGGTGGTTTCAACCCCGCTGAAAAATATGAAAGTCAGTTGGGATGATTATTCCCAATATATGGAAGGTCATAAAAGCCATGTTCCAGTCACCACCAACCAGTATATGATGAAATTATGATGATTAGTAAATAAACTATAAATGGGCCATTTTCAACAGCTATGTTAGTTCACCAGAGGGCATATAACTGATCATTAAATCCCAAAGGTACTTGGAGCAAGGTGCTGCGGCGGCCACGTGCGTCCCCGTGGCGCACTTGCGCCAGTTGATGCAGCGCAAGACGCATAGCGCCGGGGCCGAAGGGCTGCGCCTGCCGTTGAGGGCCGTTGAGGGCCGGCAATGGTAATACCTCGAGATTCATGGGTTATATCTCCTATATGGCTGCTATATATGGCTTATAAAGGGAATATGCATGGAATATCCCCATTTATATATGGGTATACGGCCTGTAAACCACAACAAAAACCATGTAGTTGTTGTGGGATCTTTCCAGCTATGAGCCATCTCTCAAGACTGCCAAAGGTGGCGAGAAACGGCCTACCTGATTTGGTACAGCCATGAGAACATGCAAACCAAAGTTCTTTACAAATCTAGCCCGGGCAATGTCAACTCTGATCATCTCTGATCACTGCTATTCCCAATAGATTTCCCAGTCTTAGAAATTTGTCAATGTTTTTTGTTTACCAACAAACATATTCAGCAAATTAAGATATTTAAGCAAGCGCATTATGATGGGGGAGTTTGTGGGCGCAGTCCTGCCTCATTGGCTTGACCAAGATCCCCCTGAAAGCAGGCTACAAACAACAACTGTGCTACCCAGAAGTCTCCGTCTCCCACTACAGAATCAGTTGTAGGGAAACTGAACCTTGGAATGACACGCGAACACTAGTTTCTTCCTTTTTCCTATGCCATCCCGTTTAATCAAACATGGCTTGCTGGAGAAATCACCCATTTAGTTCGATGATTTTCCCAGCTGGCCATGTAGCTAATGACAGCGGAGAGCATCACGATCTCCATTAGCAGCTGGTTCATGTTAACATCATTCACATCGTCATTGACTATACATATCCCAACAAATTTCACATCCATAAACCACTACCATAAACCCTATATACTTATAAGCGGAGGGCTATGCTACCATTGTTATGGGGTAAATCCGCAGTTCCAATGGTGAAGTTTTCCATATAGTATGTTTAATGGATACATCCCCATGTTTCCTGATGAGATCATGTATGACCATATTATATAGATCCTTAAAACCATATGATCCATTTTTTTTGGATGAATTAAATGAATTAAATCCCATGTTTGTTTATTGTTTGGTTAAATCTATCACCATGTTTTTTGGTGCATTAATCATTAAACCACAGGAAATCCCAGCAGCCCAGCTCCTGCAAGCCAGCTGTTCTCCGATCTCTCCCAGCAGTGCATCCATCTCTTGCAGAGTCATCATGCCTCAGGGGAGGGTTTCTTTCCAGATATCGCAAGTGGTAAAGTCAATGTAAGGAGAATGTAAGGTAAATACAAACAGTTTTTCAGTTCCATTTATGTACAGATAAAATATATAGATTGTATATAAATATATATATATATATTTTTATGTGTTGTGGAATCTGACAGCACCCAACAAATTTCTGTATGACCATAGTTTCAGCAATTCTGTGGACCTTCCAAGCATCCAGGCGGAGGAAATGGCCACAACAGTCCACAACTTGACCGTATACATGAAGTGGTGAATCGCCCTAGAGTCCTAACAACAATTATTCCGTGAACAGTAGCATTGGCATATCATGAGTTACATCGCTATAAACAATGCACAATGACGAACAAAAACAGGCACTGACGATGATACTGCACATCAAGTAAGTAAATAAACCAAAACAGTTTATCCAGTGTCCAGGATTTACCAAAGGTTCCTGTCGGGACACCGTTTTGGTCGAAGGCTTTGACGATGTGTGGACAGTTGGGATTAATGATGGCCGAAAGCTGCGCTAGCAAGGCCCACAGCTGTCCCTGTCAGCGCAGGGGAAGCAACTTTGCTCTGCTAAGAGTGAGTCAGCTGGTACTACCAGCAGAGCTTCTTTGGTCTGCACAAACATGCATTCATGCATGGTAAACCGTAAATAATTTAACAAGTTAACAAGTTGCATGTTAAGGATGTGAATACAGAAGTAGCCGAAGAAAGAGATTTCCGCTGCTACTAAAGTGGTATCTCCCTAGTTGAGCAGTCCAGTCAGGTATTCATCCGTTGACATCAACCCGTCTTGGCCGCGTTCAAGAACACCATGTCGACCACCCCCATGAAGGCGGGGAGATCCCAAATGCTAGGTGTCTTTCTACATCATTATAGTGCCATTGCTAGTGGTATATCCTAACAAAAACTAAAGAAGATCAAAGATTGACTGTAGTTTCGATGCAACTACGGTAATACATGGAAACCCCAAGTGAAGATGGTTTGGCATTGGAACCACCGCCTCGCTCATCACCTCCACGAAGTTCGGATCTAAGCAGGGCGCCGCCGTCAGGGTGCGCAGCACACAGCGCATGGCGGCCAGGGTGATGGTGCTCTTCATCTCACCGAAGAGACGCGCACCCACCTGGGGATCACTGGGGATCATTGGATCAACGGAGAGGGATGACTTGGAAGCAACTGGTGCTGTCAATTGACCTTGACAAAGAGGAAGCAACGGCAACAGGACATGTTTGAGAAAAAGAAACAGAGGGTGAAACAACAAATTCACAACGTTGTAGATTCATGATAATGAAAAACAAGAAATGAGGGGCCAAACAGCAGGGATGGGGATTTATGTTCTTTGACTGATTTTTGACCTTGCACCTGAAATAATAATATTTTGACCCCTGGAATCAAACGACAACAAATGCATTTTGAAACAAAACAACTAGGCATAATCTGCAAGTTGACAAGGTTGACAAACTACAATAAGTTTTTGGAAATTCACCAGGTTGACTATACCTTCTGGTTACTTAACATAGCCATGGAAAATCCTCATTTTTAATAGGTAAACCATCTATTTCTATGGGCCATCTATACCATGGCTATGTTAAATAACCAGAGGGTAATATTAATCACTAATTATAAATTAATGACTATTAATATTAATCACTACTATTTAGTACTATAATCACTATAAAACAAGGATTTCACCAAAAAAAACAGGGTCTCGCCGGAGTTTCCAAGGCACCCAAGGGCCGGCCGCCACAATCGCTGCAGCAGAAAACAGCAAGGCTTGGACCAAAGAACTCTCCTGGGAGGCGCAAAAAATTGAGGACGGCCTCATATCTCTGTGAAAAACAATGAATAAACAAAAAAATGTGTGTGTATATATATATGTTATATATGCATATGTATATATATATATATTGAAATAAAAAAATGTTCCATAGGTATATACGCATGTCATTGTTTTCGTTGTTTTTAATGGCTCTTATTGCGGCATTGGTTAGCAACAACACACACGCACACCACTGGAGAATGATGGCTAGTTCACCCAAATATACAAAATAATATAAACGTTTTGGGTAATGATCACCACTGCCCAAGCTGAACCCTTCAAGCATTGTACAGAAGTGCTTCTTGAAGATCTCATGTGGACGCGGTGTCCCGGACATCACAGTATAAAAATGAAGCACCAACTGCTTCTACGGTGCAAAATTATGCAAATTCTCTCTCTCCATCGCCATTTCAGAGAGTTCAACACATGCATCCGTGGCAACAGGCATTTTTTTCGGAGGCTGGAAGGGCCTAAAAAAATGCAACGCGTCAACCTCTGCTGCTTATAACCACTATGAACCATCCGATTTTCTTGGGTGCCACATGGTGCAATTCCTAGCACTAATCAAGCAGTGAAGCATCTACAAAGCATCCGCAACAGTTGGCCAGTCTTTTCGAGCATTTTGCCAGTTTTGGACCAACTTGTTACTTAAATCTTTACCTTGTTTGCTTACCCTCCGGAAAATCACCCATTTACTCATAGATTGTTTTCCCATTAGAATTTCCATGTGTAGTGGATGTTCAAGTGCCAGGTTACTGGGGGGTAAATCCAACGATGAGTCATATCTGAGCCATGCCAAGCAGCATAGGTTGCTTTGGACTGATGCCTGCCCGTTGCTTTGATCATACCTAGGCGGACGCATCATTCATCGGGATTCTTGAATCGGGAGACACATGGTTTTCTCTTCATTGGGGGGCTCCACAGCCATCCAAATGATGTAATGTCACGTCATTGTCATTCTTGTTGCATGGGGAAACCAATGGGTTCCCATTTTTAGGAACACCACAAATCAAAGGTGGCATACCTGTCCCCATGTTTATCGGCGGATTTCGCATACATGGTTGATCAGAGATACATCAATTTGTACATGGACGTTGCAAAAAAATGTGTGATTTCAAAACCTTAAAAAAGGTTGCCCCCTGACTGTCCTGACTGCAATCCATCACAGAAAAGCCTGAATATGAATGATATTTGAGTCGCAGTAATTTTCGCAAACATGTGTAAATTATGGTGGATATCACAATGCGCCTTTATAATAAAATAGGTAGGTAGACAAATCAAACAAACAAAAACAAAAACAAACAAAACAAAACAACAAACAAGCAAACAGACAAACACATATCATCCGATATTGTCCTATCATGGTTCATTCCTGTATGAAGTCCTTCCTCCCCAACCGATGGCGACGCTCAGCTCGGCGCGTTCCCGGAAGCTCTCGAGCTTCGAATAGGTCTCACTGACCTCGTAGTGGAGCACCGCCTTCGCCTCGTGGGAGAACATCCTGAAGCCGAGGCAGGGGCGGACGTCATTCTGGGGTGATGGGACAGAAAACATGGGGAAAAAAATGGCAAAAAAACGCAAAAACCTTTGAGAAAAAAATATTTTTATTCATGTTTATTCATGATTGAATGATTCTGGCGCAAATCACAAATGCGTATAGCGAGTTTGTTAAATGACAAACCATGCGGCTCAAATACATTGACTCAAGTACATGACGAAACATGGTTGGGTAGGTTGAACGGGTTTCGTTTTGTCATTTCATGCTTGTAGCGGTGGAGACATGTGGAGACACATCATGATTGGCCTTGGCGCTAGCCAGCCAAAATTAAGAAACAAACAGCATGAGAGATCAAATAGAACCATGGGCTAGTTACTTTGCATTTTGTGGCCTACTTCATGTTAAACCATCAGCCAACCACAAGTTGGGATCCCTGTAGTTGATGCAATGCAACTTGAAGCAAGCCCACACACATGGTAGATGTTGATCAAGGAGTGACGCATGTCATGTCCCACGCATGCATCAACCATTATCAAGGATCTGCAAGACAACTCTCTTCCGATCATTTGTTTCTTCTGAGAAATGCTGTGGGTCACGTCATTCAAAGGATGGTTCCATGTCTTCTTTTTCCTCCACGCCTTTTTCTGCGCGTGAATCCGCTACCCATTGGGGGCAGTCGGGTGGGGACGGGGGATCGGTGTTGTGGATTGCGTCCAAGGCTGCCAGGGATGCCGAGGGTTGAGGAAGCAGGCCGAGGTGTGTTGGGTGGCAATGCCCAGCAAGGCCGCCCAGCGTTGCATGTACGCCCCTACAATGTCAGGCCCCTCTATGAGACACTTATTATATATATATATATATATTCATATACTTCACTTTTAAAATGGGTTAAGTTATGTTATATCAAGCTTATCTTGGGATAATTTCGGTATCATTTTTCTGGTCGTGAAAAAATTTGTTAGATTTAGCATCTTTGATCGTGCATGCGGGAAGTTTGCCATAACTTCGACTCTCAAATTATCTGAATTATAAACATGTGTTTACATATGTTTTATATGCGTTTAAATCTCACGTGTGTTTATCTGGTTGTTTTGTTCCCCACCTGCCAGGTGAGGGATGCTAGATTTTAACAAAGCTCTTCTCCTCCTCCTCCTCCTCCGCCTCCTCCGCCTCCTCACCCGCCGCCTCCTCCTCACAGTCCAGATCCCAGTGGGCACAGCCGGACCTCCACCGCAAGCTCCAGATCCCAGTGGGCACTGCCGGACCTCAACCGCGAGTTGCAGATCGCAATAAGCACTGCCGGACCTCAACCGCGACTTCCAGGTCGCAGTGGGCACTGCCGGACCTCAACTGCGAGCTCCACCAGATCCCAGTGGGCACTGCCGGACCTCAACCGCGACTTCCAGATCGCAGTGGGCACTGCCGGACCTCAACCGCGACTTCCAGATCGCAGTGGGCACTGCCGGACCTCAACGGGAAGAATGTCAGAAAAGATGTCAGATAGAATGTCAGAAGATATGCCAGATAGAATGCCAGAAAGAATGTCAGAAAGAATGTCAGAAGATATGCCAGACAGAATGTGAGAAGATATGCCAGATAGAATGTGAGAAGATATGCCAGAAAGAATGTCAGAAGATATGCCAGATAGAATGTCAGAAGATATGCCAAATAAAATGCCATGAGCTATGCCAGATAGAATGCCAGAAGATATGCCAGATAGAATGCCAGAAGATATGTCAGAATATATGCCAGAAGATATGCCAGATAGAATGCCAGATAGAATGCCAGAAGATACGTCAGATAGAATGCCAGAAGATACGCCAGATAGAATGCCAGAAGATTTGCCAGATAGAATGCCAGAAGATATGCCAGAAGATATGCCAGAAGATTTGCCAGTAAGAAAATGTATAAATGTCATGGTGGGGATCACACGAAGTAAAGTAATTTGTTTTGACTGTTTTGAATTTTGGGGAAAAGAAATGGCTTTTGAATGCTTTTGACACATTGTCTTTTGCTTTTGTTTGGCTTGGTGTCTGCGTTGTTGCAAGTCGAATCAGATTGAACCCTTGAGACCTGTTGCGTTGCTTTCACAACCGGTTGTCCGCGTACAACAAAATAGTTTGCCTGGGGTGGTCCGCGCATGTTTTCGAGGGGCTCCCCAAGCCCCTGCTGTTAGCGGCACGAGGTCCGAGCAAGGTTCCACCTCAGCCGAGGTGAAGTGAACAACCTCTTCATTCTCCTCACAGACCTGGACGTTGTACACAGCGCACAGGAGGTTTGTACAAAGGGGCGCCAATCACGATGAGGTAATCGGATGAGAAGGAGCGCGAGGGGAGCCGAAGTCGAAGCTTGAGCCAAAATGGCTCACCAACAAGGGTTGGTTGTACAAAGTTGTGTAAGTTGCTCGATACTCTCCATCAACCAATTTGTTTTCTCGGGAGCAAAAATCAAAAAACACATTGACATGTCAGTAAACCCACAAAAAATGCAAAACAGCCCTGTCACATTCTGATCGGATCAGATCCCAGCAGCTTCAGCAAATTGAAGACCTCAAACGCCACGTCCGATTGGTTTTCGTCCATCTTCCGCGCCTGCAGACCTCCACATCTCTGCATCTTTGCCAAACTAGACGAACTGGCTGGAACCCAATTTTGACTTATGGCTCTAATGCCTGTCCCTTCTGAAGAAGGGAAGATTCAATGAACATAGTAAACATCATCTCCGTTCAGCCACTTTTTTTGAGAGATGTTGGTTTCTGTTGGATGATGTTGGTTATTTTTCCAGTTGGGGCTGTATGGCTCAACGGTCACCCCACTATGACATCCGACGCCCGCCTCCAAGATAGAGGGGCTTGAAGAATTCCTCGATGTCTGTGAGGCTAGGATCGTCTTGGAGAACTTGTGCTTTCCTGGAGAGGGTGGATGCGGATCATCCAGGGGACCACCGGAAAAATGCAAAAAATGCAGGTTGAAACAACAGTAATGGTGACATCTCTGGAAATATGTAAACATGTGTTTGACTGGGGCTCTTTGGCTGCCCACTTACTGGGGGGTTCAGAATTTCCCAGACCAATGTCAGATGGCCAAGGCGGTCCTCAGGGTCTATATCTTGGTGTGGGGGAAGGTTAGCAACCATGGGTTACTGACCAACCAGACATTTATAGAGGTTATGGTGGAAACATCAACAGTTGGATGGACTATATAGTTCAAACAAATACCTAACATAAACCCTGGATCTCTTATTCTAAATTAAAATTGCAATAAACAAAATCATGTGGTATTTCCTTTTCGCTATTTCTCCATCACCTAGATGCTCCATGCAGGTATCGAATATGTACCTACATTTGGGCTAGTTTTGGGGTAAATGTTATTGAATATTCCATACATGGAGCATTGGGGTTAAGAAAAAATGGAATATATGGAGGTGTCCTAAATAAATAAGGCCACCCCCAAATCATCAATTTAATTTTCATCCCTTCCATTATAAACATTTGATTTGGACGTACCCCCATTTCAGGAAACCCTATTTCCCAACATAGCCATCCCTATATATGTCTGACGGTTGAAATTCCAAGTGGCAATTGGGTAAAGAGCTGCTCGGCACAGCTCACCAAGACGATGGGCTCCCAGCGAGGCGACCCCACGTTCAAATGGAAGTCCCACCTATACCGTTGAGGCCAAAACATCAGATAGCTCAGTTGGTTAAAAAATCACTTGGTGAGGGGTCATGATATGTATAATTATATATATATAGTTGCAGTGATTCGCACACACGCATATATATATATATATATGTATACATGTTTTAGTTCATATGGCCTAACTGCAGGGCCACGTTGTATAAGAATCAACTGCGCCCCAAAGTGGTGGCATGAACCCGGCTTTTGATTCCCCCGAAACACGTCGCGGCTTAGTGTTGGATCTATTTCATTGGAATTAAAAGAAATTGACACGGGAACATGTTGTTGTGTTTGTCTTATGACAGGAAAGAAGGGGTCTTGTCAGCAGTCAAAATAGACTTTGTTGGAGATGTAGTATCACATATGAGCGATGTTCGGAAACAAGATGAAATCTGCCCAAAGAAGGCTTCCAACCAAGTGTAATATATACAAAATTTGACACACCAGCTATCACCGAATGATCTCCCGATTCTTCCTGCATCAATCTCCATATGTGATCTCCCTTTTTGTGGCTGGTAGCCTGCTCTCCGGTGAACTAACAAATCTACCTATGGATTTTCAAAAAAAACGCAATTTATAGTGGTTTTCCCATTAAGACCCCCATTTGTAGTGGAATACCTGATTAAAATGTCCATTATTTTCCAATCCAAAACTTCGATTTACAGCGGGTTTTCCTATTAACCCCGATTGATAGTGGAAATCCATCGCTTTCCCTAGAAAATGATTTAAAAAACCTGGGTTTTTCAACCAGCTGAATTCCCTGCCAAGCGGCACAATGGGCAAATGATCCGAAGGGAGCAATTCCTGGATCCAGCTGATTTACCCAACATTGAACATTGTGATTTTCCATGGTTTCTATGCCAAAAAACAATTTCAAGAACATGGGCAGTCCAATGACATAAAGTTACTGAAATGGGGGGTGGTTCATACAACACCCACAAAAATTGTGATGACTTGCGGTTGGTTCAATTATTGTCCGCTTTGCAACATTTTTGGATAGTTTACCACATTGTTTGCCTTGAAAACAATTATTAAAAATGATTTAACACATTGCTGTACTTTATTGGTTGGTGTCATCACCAGCACCAGCGATGACTGCAGCCAAGCGTTCGTTGGGCATCAACGCCAGCCAATCGCGGTCCGCTGGATCCTGGCGGAGGTAAGGGGAGCCATGCCATGGCGACCGAACCCGTCATCAAAAATGGTTGGCTGTGTACGAAACGAAACCATAGGAATCCATACGGAAACCATAGGAAAATGGTGATAAATCGCCAAGAATAATGAGATTTGATAGGGAATATAGCTGATTTATAACAAGTTGGATTAATTATACTTTGGTTAACTATGGCATATGGGGGATATAACTATAGCCAATGAATTTGTGTAAACCAACTTACACTTGGGGGGCCTCACCTTGTACATGGAGGATCTTCCAACTTAATAACTGGTTTTTGTTTGTGGGGTACCACCCGCTTATAAATGGCACATACCTAGCTAGGAGACTCACCAATCAGGGTTACTAAGTCACTAAGTTGGATGATCCTCCAAATACAAACGGGCATTTGAATAAACAACTGTAAATGGTGAGTTTTCTCCATGTCTGATTACCAGAGGGTAACCCAAACAGTCTCCGCCAGGTATTGTTGTGCTGTAATGCGAACAATATATAATTCACCGGGAAGAATGAAATTTTGAACCATGTTTAAAGGAAACGACTCGAATAATAAATCTGTCCAACCACCTTTGAAACTACGACTGTTTCTTCCAAGGTCCTAAAGCATCCGAACACCAAAAGCACACACACAATCCCAGCAGTTCTGCCGAGCATCATCAGTCTTCCTAAGGTGTCAGCTGCACTGCGGGGAAGTTGTGGCAGAAATCTTGCAGCAATGTCTTTGAATGGCTGGACAGTTCAACACCAAATTTCATCATTCATATTTACCAGTTACATCCCTGTAGTCCTTATCTTTAAGTGCTGATTTCAATCCTATTAATGACGCGTAAATCCCATGTCAAGCCCACGATATAAACTGGGAGGTTTGAAACTATCCGAACTGCATTGGGTAGTGTAACCCCTCGATATCATCAACGTATGTATGCATAGGTACATGTCAATTGTATATGTACATGTCAATTGGATATGTATATGTATATAAATAAAAAGAGAGAGAGAGAGAGAAAGAGAGAGAGAGAGAGACAGAGAGAGAGAGAGAGAGAGAGAGAGAGAGACAGAGAGAGATATATATATATGTATGGGTGCGAGTCAAAAATCGGGTATGGATCGCTCCGCGGTGATCCGTACTATGGATGGGGAGAGCTTACGTAAGGTGCCTGATCCGTACCCTTTCGTAAGGGATACAAACTGTGCTGACACTCCTACTTGCTATTACCTCTCCTCCTGCTACTGTTGCTGCTAAAACTGTTACCACTGCTCGTAGAGGGAGCAATTTAGAAAAGCCAGCACCAGCAGCAGTAGTGGCAATAGAAGGAGAAGATGCAGTAGCAGTAGAAATAGCAGTAGCAGTAGTACTAGTAATAGTCAGAAGAATAGTATATAGTCTAATGGTAGTACAGCAGCAGCTGCAGTAGGTACTAGGAGTATACAGTAGGAGTATGAGTAGGAGTAGGAATAGCAGGAGCAGCAGTAGTAGCAGTAGTAGAAGTAGCAGCAGCAGCAGCAGAAGTAGAAGTAGAATCGGGCTTTCATATTGGCATTTGTTGTGGCGTGACTGGGTTCGGGTATGGATCAGGTATGGAATGGGTATGGATCGGGGTATGGATCGGGACACGCTATCTGGGCCGGCTTTCCCACTGTGGCTGTGAAGAAAGAGAGCGGGGTATTTCTAGTATAGTATAGTTCTATACGTGCCAGGCAGAGCAGCAACAGAAGGAGTTGTAATCATAGGGCCACTAGAAGTACAAGAAGCACCTAGTGGAACTAGAACCGGTCTTACTAGCCTCCAAGGTGCACTTGCAATATTGCTAGTAGCTAGTCAGCTGGTTGCATTTCTCCAACTACCAGAAGCACACGGAGGAAGTGAACCAGCAGCGGGAGCAGGAACAGCAGGAGCAGCAGCAGAAGCGACAGCAGTAGCAGCAGCTCCTGGGAGGAAGATGACTAGAAGTGGCAACAGCAGCAGCAGCAGCAGCAGCAGCCGTGGCGGCAGCAGCGGCGGCGGCGAGGCAGCGGAGGCGGCGGAGGCAGCGGAGGCAGCAGTAGTAGCAACAGTAGTAACAATGGGAGTAGCAGTACGGGGACCAGAAGCAGTATTAGAATAAAAAGCAGCATTTGGGGTCAGCATCAGTATCTCTTCTACGCGAAAGGGGTGTCGATCAGGGGTATGGATCAAGGGTATGGATCCTGCAGTATCGTAGGGTATGGATCAAGGTATGGATCGGGGGGTATGGATCGTGTGTGGGCCTGGGGCCTTGGTCCGTACCTTGCATTTTGACTCGTACCCACACACACAGATATATATATATATAGGATCTAGAAGGCCTGTGGGTCTGGTACCACAAGTACACTTTCAAATTGACCCAAATTCTCAAGTTCAAATAGCACCAAATTTGATATGCGTATAATCACAAAACAAAACACACGATGGACTGGTTCTGAGCTTTTGAACTTAGGTCCACCAAAGGTGTAGTTGATACGTGGGAAAAAGTCTACAGGTTTGAACAAAGTTGAACATAACCTTAACAGATTTCAACATCCTGCCTGGCCCATGCAAGAGCGGAACGAACAGAACAGTATATTAGTGGGTTAGCAGGTGCACTAAAGTGCCCAGGACAACCAAACTAGCAGGTACAGGAGTGTGTGTCCACACCCCCTTCCGGCTGAATCCCAAAGCTTCGTTGGCATGGCTAAGGAAACGGATGCCATAGTCCCCTGCCCTTTGTTTTAGATCAACTTCGTTTGGGGATTTAGCTTACCATGCCCTGTGTAAGAAGAGCGTACACACACAAATAAAAGAACAAATCGAAAATTTGAAAATAAAAAGCACAATTGGCGAAGAGAAGGCCATGTGCATGGGTTGCCTGTCTTACAAGCCAATAGATGACGGGGCAAAAAAAGGCAGCCAAACATAGGACGAAAAGGGTCGAAGATAAACACCAAGCTGTTTCCTTGCAGGCATCCCGAGCCATGCGAAAGTTGTTCACTTGGCCATAGCAGTCTGCCACAAGGACTCGCTCTAGAGCTCCTGCAGCTCGTTTTTCATCGCCCTCTTCTGTCTGCCCAATCGGGGACCGGTCCAAAACATTCCAAAACAGCAAATTCAAAACCGTTTTCCTGGAAATTCATGAACGTGTGTTGCAAACGGCGCGGAAAGCTACGACAGGCTAGCACAATGTCCCTGGCTACAAGGTCGGAAAAAAAGCGGAGAGATAGGCTACACCGATGTGTTGACAACGCGGGGACGGCTTGTAGGCGCGGAAAGTTGCAAGGCAAGCCGGCGCATCGCCATGGATCGGTCCAGCGCGGTGTATAGAGTTGGATGATTTGAAATCGTAGCTGTACAAGCGGCAGCCCACCTCTCGACTCAGGCAGCGTGGCTCCAATGGTGTGACGCACACCAGCTTCCCAAGAATCCATCGCGACAAATTCTTGACAAAATAGGCATGGCCCCCAAGTTTGTGACACTACCCACCAAGGTTTGACTGAGTTTTAGCTTGGCTGTGGCCGTGGTTGCTGCTATCGTGGTTGTTGCCATGATTGTGGTCATGCTTTGAAAAAATCTGTGCAGGAGTGCAGGGTTTCCACCAACGTTGGCGATTTCCCAAATTTCTGATCACAGCATCTGGCATCGGTGATGCTTCGAAAAAAATCTGCGCAGGAGGCAGGGGCTCCACCAACATTGGTGGGTAGCGCTCACAAAATTAGCGTCCCCTACATCCATTTCCACATCCTTGGCATTCACTTACCACTGGATGGTTGGTCCTGCTTCGCCTTCTTCGCCTCCTGCTCATGCTCTCCGTCTCCGTCTCCGTCGGACCCTTGCAAGCGCTTCCTCTGGGCGTTGAGGCTTGACAGCTCTTGAGACTTGACAGCAATCTCAAGGTCAATGGCCTGAAGGAATTGCTTCCTCGGTGCAACATCGCGAGCAGCCAGCACTTCTGCCCCCGTCTTCATGGACAGGGAGCAAATGTGAACTTCAAGTTTGCCATCAACAATGCTGGCTTTGGGCACGTTTGCCTCATGGCAGGCCCAATAGTCCACGGGCGAGGTGGCACAGTCCACATAGGTGAAGCCAGGGGGCAACTCCACCGTGGACAGCACTTTCACTGGGAAAGACATTGTTGTACCTTTGCACAGGAAGAAGGCCAACATTCCAGCGGTCTCGGCATCAGGGAACAACACAGCGGAAGCATCATCGGACAGTGGGTCCTCATCCCGTCGCCGGAGGACCATGTTCTTCCGGAGCACATCGCGGATCATTGGAGCCCTGGGCAAGATGAACTTGGTACCAGGAGCAAGCAGATTTGGTTCTGATGTCTATCTATTGAAGCCTGGTGTGTTGTTTCCCTCCAAACCCATAACTGCCCAAGGAGCAGACACATTCCAAATTGACATGGTTATCATTTTTCCGTGCTCTATGGAAAAGATACAGGTAATAATGGTAATATCATAGTCTAACAAAAACAACAGGAAGAGACAAGCCCGCAGAGTCAAGGAGCCACCAAGATCTTTGCCAAACAAATGAGCGCAGGCAGGACAATATCTACAAGAGATTGGACAATAACAAGACCTGGAAAGCAAAACGACGCAGGTGGTTCGGAATACTTGGGAAGCACCAAACATCTAGGGCCCACTTGTCAATCACCCCAATGAAATAGCCAAGTTGCCCAACCACCTCTGAAGTCAGCATGAAGAAATTCCAAGGCTTCGTGCCGCCTGCAATCTGGTCACTTCGGCACTGCACCAGGAAGTCCTCAAAAACGAACTTCTTGTCCAGTTGCTCCTGCTTGGTTTTGTTCCGCTTACCTTGGTGTGTTTGTGTTCTCGCTTTGTTGTGGCATGCATGTCATGCTCTTCTTCGTGGTCTCTCTCTGTGTCCTTTCATGCAAGGCCTGCGCAAGGTGCACAACATGCAAATGCACGAATGGAGGTGCAAAAAAATACAAAACCTGCCAAAGGTCAGGAGTCGTTGGCCCTGAAAAGGCCGCCGCCGATCCAGTAGGGTTGGACACCAAGGAGAAGGAATCTCCGCAGGCAGCTTCTAAGTGCTTGTGCAAACGCGTGAGGTTCTTCTTGGTGAATGCTTGGTTCTCGAGGACGAACGGGACGAAGACTCTCTCCAGTGAAATGGGGTCGTACAAGCGCTGTGCGAGCAAGCACCATTTCATGAACTCCGGTGTGCGCCCCAGTGTCTTGTAAAGCTTCTTGCTTATGTGCCGGACCGCTTGCACATCCGACCTCTGCGCCAGCATGACAATCCTATCCCCAGTGCAATCCGTCTCCTCTACAGTGCTGCCGGGGCCATGGTTGCGCAAGCGGTGGGGCAATGAGATTGGCACCGCGGTGGCCTGTTTGATGAGGCCGGAGCATCTGTCTGCACGTCTCTTGCTTGCTAGCCTGTCGGCTGCTGGCCGGCGCTTTACCATGGCAACTGCGGGTACACTGCAAACAAACAGAACCAAACACTGCAAACAAAATCTTTGTGTGGGCAAACCTTGTTGGCAAATGTGCTTTGCGCATCAACCGGTGCAAACCATTGCAAACCTATCAGCATGCCATGCTGCAAAGGCGCTGCTGTTTGTGCTGCGAGTCTGGGGCAATCGGGGTGCATAATCTGAGACACAGAATGCCTGGGCAATCTGACCCAACATGATGTGTATCAAAGCCCAACTCGCGCATTCTTTTTCTTCTTGAAGCTGCACAGGTTGGGCTTGGGCGCATTGTCTTATGGACACTGTTCGGGAACAGAGTAGATGGTTTACCCGGCACACAAAATTCCAGCAAACTTAGCAACAAGTTGACATAGGTTTCTGACGCGGAAGGCTTCATGTCACCATGTTTTGCATTCACAGGAGTTGTGCGAGAGGGCAGCACATCTCCAACAAAGAGAGCATTTCAAGATCCCGTGTGTAGTCTGCGGCTGATGTTCCGCTTTCTTCACAACTTTGGAAACAATGACTTCAAGACAACTTCATAGATAACCTATATACTATAGACTCTAGACTTTCAGATGCCTCAGTGACTGGTTCAGAGGCAGCTGCTGTTGAGACTCGATGGACATCTTGTTCAAATAGGTCATTTTAAGACCAAGGGGTCACCATGGGATCACCATCACACCATGGGATCACCATCATCGGCGAGCTCTACGCGGCTTCCAGGCTCGAACTCACGGGATTCATCGAATGCAGGCTTCACTTGAAGCCATTCCGCGGGCATGGACCAGGGGAAAACATGAAATCAAATTGCCCAAAATGTTCCATACCGAATTGCGTGAAACCTCCAAAGGTTTCCGAAAACCACTGCGGGCCAAATCAGAAAATCCACGCAGCATGTAAAACCATGAAATTTGATGAAACTTGAGCGCATGGCAGCCTCTCTTGCAACAGGGCTTGACCAAGACGATGCCTTCAACACTGGCTATTTCATGTGGGAAACCAGTTGTTGTCATTCTGAGGGGCACAGTTTAGTTCAGTGGCACCCATAAACTAGAGCAAGCGGGACGCAGGGTACTGAACCGTACCCAACTTGGAAGTTGATCAAAAATACACACTGTAACAACGACAGCACTCTACCTTCAAGGCCAGCTACGTTTGCAAGAGATGCGTGGCACCTTCAAAGTCAGCTACGTTTGCAAGAGATGCATGGCACCTTCAAAGTCAGCTACGTTTTGAAAGAGATGCATGGCACCTTCAATGTCAGCTACGTTTTGAAAGAGATGCATGGCACCTTGAAATGTCAGCTATGTTTGCAAGAGATGCATGGCACCTTCAAAGTCAGCTACGTTTTGAAGAGATGCATGGCACCTTCAATGTCAGCTATGTTTGCAAGAGACGCATGGCAGCTTCAAAGTCAGCTATGTTTGCAAGAGACGCATGGCATCTTCAAAGTCATCTAGGTTTGCAAGAGATGATTGGAACCCTTCACCGGCCAGTGAGCCAGAATGAGTAGGTCGCGTATCGCCGCAAC